GGTAGAAGGTTATTTCACACTTTGATAACACAGTATCAGTATGCATACACTTTCCAGTCATTATTAATATGATTTATCAAATATAACTTTAACAACTTTAAGTCACCAGTAATCCTTGTATTTAATTACAGTATGTAATATTACAATTTTTGTGTTATTTTTTTCAATAATTGAACTTTTGAGATTTGATTGTAAACTGAAATTCTGAAAAGACAAAGAACCCTAGAATCTTAGATTATAAGATTTCTAATTTTTAAAGATGCCAAATTGTTGGCATATTTGAGGCCAATATGTTGTGCCTTAAAATTACCAGTAGAATTATGACTGTTTATCAGTAAAGTTAACCGATGGCCAGATGAAGGAACACATGAGAAATGGCGAAGGTATAGATGTATTCCTAGCCTTTCAGGCAGAGTTCTCTGATGACCAGTGGAGAAAAGCCTGCATTTTTGCTCACAAATGCTCCATCAGCACAAGGACTCAAGAAGCCTCCTGCAAATTAACACGTTGGTATGCTACACTTGGACAGGTTAAAGAGGTGGTTTCCCCAGCATTATGAGGCTTATGTTGGTGCTGTGAGTCAGCGGAGGGCTCCTTGTTTCATGTTTGGTGGCAATGTCCACAACTTAAGCCATTCTGAGATGAAGTTCGAGAGTTGATCTACTCTATTACGGAGACTGCATTGCCCTTAACTCCTGAGTGTTGCCTCCTCCATATTTCTGAGTGCTCAATGAACTCATACAAGAGATCCTTGGTGTGGCACCTTTTGAATGCAGCTAAGTCCTTAATTCCCAGACATTGGAAGACCACTCATACCCCCTCGATTCAAGACTGGATAAGAGAGGTTAATGTTATTCAGGAATTGGAACGAACACTATGACTGATGACATGGTTCTCAGGTTTCACAAATTGTGGTCCAGTTGGTATGCTTTCACTTTTTCGGAAAGATATAAAGGGCTGATGGGCGAATAGCTCTTTTTCTCTTTTGGACGTGTGGGTCATGCTGGTGATTTCTGGGCATCTCTTGCGGGGGATGGATCTGTCCTTACGTATTTTTATTCTCTTGCTTTCTTTCCTAGCTTTTCATTTTCCTCTGTTCCTACTTTTCTTTCTATCAGACTTGATGATTATACCTGAAAATTGTAAACGTTTAACTATGTGAATGCTTCCTAATGTTTTGATTATACTACTGAGTTTGCTCCAAAACTAATTTGTAAACTGTGTATTACATGATATGATAATATTCTATGCTTTCTTGTAGCTCATTCTTATTCATATGTTCTGCTTTTTCTTTCTGAATAAAAGCCAATTGTTAAAAAAAAAAAAAATGTATTCCTAAAGAGGAGAGTATGTCAACATGGAGAGATTGATTCGCAGGCATTTAGTCTTTTTGCTATCCAAATACCATGGGGGATATTTTCATCTACTTTCTGTCCTGTAGACACTGCAAGAAGTGGTGAAATCTCTCCAAAATGGAGGTAACCCCTTCTCAGACAGTTGTCACTGGAACAGGTGTTCCAGTTGGAAAATTTCCCTCAACTCCCATTCTATTGACAACTTTTTGGACTTTACTTTCAGTTTCACCGACAATGGTCACCCGGACAAATAGACAGTGTGTATCTCTCTAAGAGCAACACATACAGCAATAAATAAACTGACAGAGGCTCTAACTCTCCCCCCACTCCATTCAAAACATATTTTTGATTTAGACACAATTTCAATCTAATTTTATCTTAGTACAATGTTTGCTGTTTTTTGTTTTGGTCATGGATAGGCATTGGCCAATCTGACAATAGTGCAAGAAAAGCAAATGACCCTGTTGGTGATTTCAGAACACCAAACAAGGGCTAAACCTAACATTTGCTTTGGACTATGAGACTCCGTCTCCATTGTAGCAGAGAGCACTATGTCAGATTTTGTATTAAAAGTAAATATTAGTAGATGAGCCACTAAGGACAGAGTAGATTTATTTTTCATCCATTCAGGGATACAAGAAATCTTTAAAGGATTAGTTTACCTTCTGGGGAAAAAAAAAACAAGTGCATATATTTTTCCCTAAGGAGCCTGGAAAGCATTTGACCTGTGATCAGTGGCTCAGGGGTGCAATACCAGATTCCTGCAGACAAGCCCTGCAGCTTTCAGCCTGTACCTCCATATGCCATATGGGCTGACGGTTTACAAGCTGCAGGGCTTGTGAAGGAACTAAGAAGCTGCTCATTCACAATCCCACAGTCCATTCAGAACTACAAGTCATCAGCTGCAATGGCTGACAGTAGTTGTAGTTTGTGCAGTCACAGGGATCTGTGAATAAATGACGAGGCCATGTGGGTGGGGCCCCAAACGGCAGCAGTATTTTCAAATAGTGACAGCGGGTGCGGGGAGAAGATCCCTGCTCACTGCAACAGGAGTGGGGGGGAGGCTGCAGCTGCTGCAACATGTTACATGTCCCACCCGAAATATAGGTGGAACATGTAACATGTTCCAAAGGCAAGCTTATCATTTAACCTTCCGGGTATAGGTATTGGACACTGGAGATTTGTGTCATTGGTGTATCTGGGTTATTTCAGCTGCAGCCTTTACCATTGTCATGCAAGAGTTTATGACCCACATTTACCCTGTTATTTGCTGACTTGGATTACAGAGGCCACACGTGTGCTTCTTAGCAATCAGTTGCAGAGATACTTGCTCACTGAGTCGCGTAACTCCTTGATTATTGGGCTTATCTCTGATCAGTCGCAGTCTGAGCTACTACTTCTAAATGAAAGGTAACCCTTTTGGCTCCTATTAATTCAGGAAGCACTGCTCTGAAATGAGAGGATCAGCCTGTTTCACTTCTGTCCCAGGGGCCAATCAGCCATTTTGCTTCATGGTTGATGGTTTTGACGGCATGCTTGTTGAAATCCAGGTTCTAAGGGACAAGGTCATTTCTGATTCTGTTATTCCTAAAATACCTAAAGATAGGAAGTCTACTTTCCAAAAATTCTACTGATGGACAGGGAAAGCATACGTCACTTGGTTTCCACCCCAGGAGTTTTTCTCTGTGGGACAAAACTTCGCTTTTCTGGGTGGAACTAACACTTGGCTCTCAGCACTGTCAAGAATGAGAGATCACTGGCCTCTTTCATTGATTAGGGCCCTTATACAAGGGGTTTTCCATTAAGACTCCCCCTTCGATCCCAAGTGACTCATTAGAATTTGAATTTGGTTCTGTGTGCTTTAGGAAGTGCTGTTTGAATCCATTTAAGACCTTCCTCTCTCTGCTGTCATTCACACTGTGATTTGCCTTGGAGCCATCATCAATAAAGACCAAGTGTCTGTACTGGTAGCAAAGAACCCTTTCGGTCTGGCAATAAGGACAGGCGTTTTCTTCTTTTCACCTTAACCAGGACATTGTTCTCACATCCTTCTGTCCAGCTGTGGTTCACCAAAATGAATTTTCCCTCCATTGTCTGGATGCGGTTTAGGCTGTGCAAGTCTACCATTTAGCCATTGCTTCTTTCTGAGAGATGGATTTCTTTTTGACATGCCAGGTAGACCCTGGATGGGTTCCCTGGCTTCTTGTTCCACCATCTCTAAGTTGTTCAAACAGACAATCATTCAAGCTTATGGGTTGCGTTAAGGGTTGGGGTTCCCTTTCCTGTCAAGGGGAACACTACTAAATTTGTGAGTTCTTCTTGGCCCTTTCAGAATCAATCAACCGTTTCCAAGATGTGTAAGGCTGCCACCTGGTCCTTTGTCCACACTCGAGGTTCTGCCAGGTGGATGTTTCAGCCTCATCTAATGCCAGCTTCTGACATAAGGTCTTTCAGGCAGATGTTTGAGGAGCAAGCAGTACCCAGTTCTCTGTTCTTGGGACAATTAATGATCACTTGCCCACCCCTCTGCTGGACTACTTCATCTTGCTGGTGAAAAAAATTCCTGCATCTCTTAATGGACAAGAAAATAGGACCCACTACAAAAATCCTTTCTTGGAGTCCATTCATAGGCACAAGTCCCACCCCATGTACTTATGATCATACTCTTGGTATTGCCTATCCCGGGCTGGCCTACAGTTTTTTTTTTGGTTTGCCATTGTCCAATCCCTCTGTTGGCATCTGTATATCCCAAAGGTTAAAGACTCAGTGAACTCCCAAACAAAAGACATGCTGACACTGTCCTCTACTGTCTGAAGTTCCAAAATGTGGGTGCCCTCTGCATCCTCTCTTGTACAATACAGGACTGTTGGCCCTGCATTGTACAGGATAACACTGAAGAGCTGAAACCAGTTGGGTAGCAAAGGAAGAGACTTCGGGTAGCTTTTTGCACAAAGGAAGGAAGCTTGTGGGAGCAAGCAGTAAAGTAAGTACCTATATCAATATATAAATATACTGCACAGTAATAATGTTTTTTATGGCTTTAAGATAAAGTTTTTTTATACTTTAAGGTGATTTCTTTTACATCTGTTTTAAAAATAGAGAAGTCTATATTTTCCTTTGAGGGCCCATTTACACCTTTCTGTTCATGTCACACGTCGGTACGCATGTTAAAATGTACATCAACGGATGTAAACAAACAGCGGAGACCCATGGAATGTTGTATTAATATCTTTACATTAGCGTGACGTCTTGTGTAGGTAATGTAACAAGTAACAAAGACCTTTTTGTTAGGTTGTTTTATTGCTCATGAATGTGGGTGTCTGTATATAGATTATGTGCTGATGCTGTAGTTAGGATGAAAGATTCATTAATCAGTGTCACTATAATGTCTGCTATTTTAGAAGGGTGTAAACATGTTTAAAACTCACTGCATTCCTTTTTTAAGGCCTCAGTTACCAGGGAGTGTTCACAACAGCATTTTGTTATGTGATAACCTTTATAAAACCTTGCATAAAGTTGTATGCATCTAATTTAAAAGATGCTCCATAGGCATGCAGGTGAGACAGAGTGCACGTGTGTTTGTGTGTCATGTGTAGGGCAGCCCATTCATTTCAGAAGGCTGTCCTACACGTGAAAAAACACACAAAAGCAGTACCTAACCTTTTTGTTAAATCGCTCCTCACTTGGATGCATGGTGCTGCAGCATTATTTGTTTTGCGTGCATGTTGATGCCAGGGGCAGACTAACAACTCATGGGGCCCCCGGGCAATAGGGGATCATGGGGCCCCTGTGTCCTTGCCCAAACTCAAAAAAGCCTATGAAAAAGGTACTAGGGGCATCTCATGGGGCCCCCTACTGACCCCGGGCCCTCGGCAGTGCCCGAGTTTTCAAATGGTCAGTCCGCCCCTGGTTGATGTGTGGGATGCAGTTAAGAATTAATGACACAGCCACACATCTGCCAAAGTGCAGTGCATGTTGGGAAAGTGCGCAGTTTTTGCAAGTGTTCCCAGTACGTACAGGGTGTGAACCTGATGTTAGGCACATCTGGGTGTTTTGTATTGAGGGTAGAATCGCCACGATCTGCTAAATTGACATATTGCACCACCCTTGCTCAGGTGCCATTCATTTTCAATGGCACCTAAAACACAATGCGTTGTCACCCCATAAGAAGCTCCTGCTCCGTTATGGGAGACCAGCTTTTTATGATGCGGTTTGTAGCGTGACAATTGGAGCAGAAACACGCAGTGTTGTAGGTGCCTTTTGAAAATGAATGGCACCTGCACAAGCATGGTGCGATTTTCAGTTTTGCAGAGCATTTGCCCGTGATGCAAGATTCCTAGATGTGAACTGAACCTTAAATGTTAAGCTTCTGATCAAGGCATTTTTTCCAGATCGGTCGAAACTTGCTTGAGTGAATTTTTTTCCCTGCAAATAAGATAATGTCTTCATGCAACAAGATATTTTTATCTTGTCCAAATTTGCCACCAGATATCTTAGTCTTTTTTTTTTTTTCAATAGTTTTTATTGAAAGTTTTTTGTAGTTTTTACAAAAACATACACACAGAAAAACAAAAGCACTACTCACTCTCCAGTTCTCAATGGAGAAAACTGGTAAATCAAGATTTTATGAAGTAAACCATTACAAGTGTACCAATGGGAAAAGTGCCACTGTGTCTAAAAGAGAACAAAAAGGTTTTACACAACCAGAAATACCTTAAAATCAGTGCACATCTGCCACTCAATAACAGTTGGGTACATGCGCCAAGTGACTAGGTATGTATAGCATTGTGTCAAGGTCCTACCTTTTCCCTGAGGTTATGTTACTCCATGTGCTGGCGTCCATCTTGGATTCTGCTGTGCATGATGGGAATCCTTTTATGCCTTCAGGTCTCTGTGGTCCATCCCCCAGAGGGGTGTGGCTGATGACATATAAGCCTGTGGCCCGCACATGCTCTTTGCACTTGTGTCTTGTGTCTTGGTGTTGCTATTACTCTGTTCTGACTCTCGTGACTCTCCTGGTATCTGATTCGGCTTGTGACTTGACTATTCTTTGTATTCTCCCTTGATCTGACCCTCTGTTGCTGAACCCGGCTCGTGACCTGTGATTCTCGTCTGCTGTCCTGTACTGTTTTGTCCTGTTGTTTGACCCCGGCCTGTCTGACTACTCTTTTGTCTCTTCCACCAGCTACACGCCATTGGCGGCGGCCATTACCGCAGCTGAGGTGTCTCGGGGGCCGCAAACTGGTTCCTGGCTGCGTCAAGTCCATCCCCACCATCAGGGGCCCGCCCTGGTGAAGGGCAGCCTGGGACTTAGACTCCGCGCCCTGAGGGACTTCGGTCTGTGGGTAGTGGTTGTCGTCGGCCAGTGCTTTACATTGTTAGGCCTGCCTGTCCTTTCCTCGGCCCCTGCCCTGACATTTTGTAATTACAAAAGCACAAGCCAAGTGATTTGTTATAGATATTAACATTGAAAGATCCATAAGGACACTTGGGCCACTGGAACTAGACCCGGGGTCTACAATCATGGATTCCATAGCTTTTCAAATTTGGAAGGGGTACCCCTTTCTTGAAAAATGTGACAAGAAGGGTAGAGTTAACCTGCTTGCGCCACTCCTCAACTGTAGGGGGAAAGGAGACAGCCACTTGTAGGCTTTGCATTTACGTGCCAGAAATAACAATATAGTAAGGCTCTACAGACTTTAGTCAGTAGAAGCAACCAGGGGGGACTGACCATTTGGAAACTCGGGCACTGCCCAAGGGCCCGGGGTCAGTAGGGGGCCCCATGAGATGCCCCTGGTACCTTTTTCATAGGCTTCTTTGAGTTTGGGCAAGGACACAGGGGCCCCATGATCCCCTATTGCCCAGGGGCCCCATGAGTTGTCAGTCCGCCCCTGGAAGCAACCATCTCATGTCCATAGCCATCCAAAGCCATAACACAACTCCACCTAAAACCTTTTGGGATGGGATAGTACTCTATATAATGCCTGGTTCACATTAGTCACGGCAGCACATTCATTTCAATGGACTGCTGTGCCGAGTGTCTTGCACAAGAAAAGATGCATGCAACTTTTTAAAAGTGCGGCCGCAGGGAAATCTCATGGTCTTTTTGATCATGTGGTTTCCTTGTGGTTCCTGTACCCACAGTCGTGCTGTGGGCTGAGATGCATGGGGGGGTGCCATTCATTCTGCATGGCAGGTCCATGCGTCTCACAAGAGTAGCGTGATTCAACTGTAGGTGGTTGTGCGTGTGAGGGAACATGTGCTATTCTTGCACCCTCAAACAGCCCGAAGCCTGTGGGCTAGTGTGAACCCAGCGTCATCACTGAAAAATGAATGGAGAGGAAAGCTCTTTAGTGGGAACACACAATAGACCTGATAGAGGTATAAACCTTTCCTGATTCAGCTAAAAAATACTTTAAAGGATAAGTTCACCTTTTGAAAAAAATATAATAAATGCACATTTTTTTTTTGCAGGTAAAAAAAATGTGCATTTATTATTTTTTATTGCAAGAGCCTGTAAACCATTGCACCAATGATCAGCAGATCACTAGTGCCATAGAGGTCTCCTGCAGACCTGTCGGTATATCTGCTTTCCTGTATGGGATGTATGGGCGAGCAGATTTACTGATGGGAAGAATCAAGGAACTACCAGAGCAGTCCACAGCATCGTGGTAGTTCATTGAGAACTACAGGCTGACAGGACTTGCAGTTTCTCATTCACAGACGACTGTGAATGAGTGACGTGGCCAGGTGGGCTGTGTGGTTTTTTTTTTTTTTTTTTTTTTTTTTTAATTTTGACAGCTAGCGGGAGGATAACATCCCCTGCTAGCTGTCAAAGTGGAGGAGCTGAGATCAGTCTATTCATAACAAAGGTGAACTTATCCTTTAATTGCTTCCCATTTCTATTTGGTGTGGGACTGGAAAATTCCCTGTAGGGAAAAAGCAAAAAAGACAAAAAAAAGAGGTTTAATGCTTTCCCGCTCTATCCAAAAACAACGTAAAAAGTTTTGGCTGGAGTTGTACAGTCATAAAATGGCCAGCAATTATTAGAGTGTTTACAATTGGGATAAATATCCACATGGGAGTCCATCAGCTTTAGGCACTGATCAACTTTATCAGCTAAACAGAATTTAGGATCTCAACAAGTTTTATCTGAGATCTGGCCAACACAATAAATCTGCTCCATCTGAAATTGGTATTGAAGTACAACTCACATGGTAAACATTTTGGGATTGTACGGCCTTTACACCTCCATAGATTATTCACGTGTCCAATTATATTTTCGGCTAAATTACTTTGTCAAAGGATTTTATTTTTATTGATTTTTTTTCTTTGTTGTAAGTCTGTGTTTTGTTTGTGTGGCTCAGGAAATCTATACTGAAAAAAAATGAGTATAATGAGTATAGGCATTCCTTTGAATTCAGTACAATGAGCATTCTTGTTACCGTCTAGCCTTTTGCAAACTTTTATCATTCAAGGCTAAGTTCTACATTTAAAAAAAAAAATAATTCTTTATTTGTGGCTATTCAGGGAATAAATGATTCAAACAACTAGAGTAATCATACAGGCCCATAAACAATGAGCCATATAAATGACATAGAATAACATTGACATGGATGATAGTGCTGCAGAGATCTTAAACAATAACCTTGAAGTGGAACTTTACCCATAACAACTTTACCAAGGAACATACTTTCTACATTAATAATTATACTACCAAAATTAATATGTGCTGTAAATTGCTTCTTGCTGGAGGCGGCCATTTTGCTTAAGCCCAGAGCCCCTGAGCAACAGTAAATCATAAAACGGAACTTAACCCATAGATTTAACGGTTTCAAAAAACAGTTACATTCCTGGAATGCCGGAATTGCTATCACCTTTGCTTGTGTCCTCAACCAAATTGTCAAACCATCAAAAGCTGGTGCCATAACTGATCACATGTGCAGCACTTTGGCAGTTGCAGATCAAACAGAAGCAGCTTCCTTGGCTGTAAAATTAGGAGGGTTTATTTCCACGTTAAGGCTGTCAGCAGATCGACACCTACAAATATGGCAGTGCTTAGAAAAATAAAGAGCAACTGAGCATGTGCAGGCAGGGTGAGACAGTAGATTACTGGATTTTAAACAGTATAGACCCTTATTTTTACTGTTTTACATAGCTATACTGCAAAAGGGACCAGCTTGAAGTCATCTAGCAGGACTTAATTTTCTGACTAAAGTTCTACATTAAGTCCAATAAATATGCATAAAACGGTTGTCGTTGTGTGATGTTAGGCAAGTCTGAGAAATACATGGGACATTAGGACCAGAAGTCGCCAGTGGGGGGGGGGGGGGGGACAAAACGCCCTGCTTAAATTTTATATTTTAAGTGAAATGGGAGAGGAGTATGAAGAAAGGTAGAAAGGAGAGGAAAAGAAGAAAAAAGGGTTTGGTTGGGGAAGTAAGAGGTAGATAACAGACCAATCCAGGGCACAGTATCTCCATTTAGATAGAGTAGGATGCAAGAAGGGACTGGTATTTCTCAGATAAAATAAATTGGGTCCAATAAAATCACATTTTATAAAAGAGGTTCATGCTTGTTTATGGAGGCGGTGAGGTCTTCCATGCACATAATGCCGTTCATTCTACTAATCCATTGACATACTATGGGAGGAGAAGGGGATTTCCACTATGCTGGAATACATGCCCTGACCACATTGAGGAAGTTCTACATTATTTAATGAAACACTGGAAAAATTCTGGTAGCTGTACACGCCTTTTTATTTTTTAAAGTCGAAAGCTTGCCATTCACATTTCTAATTGAAA